ACCTCAATGGCACGTCGAGGATTTTCGCCTGATCAGTTACCCCTCGCGGACGTTCACACTCGCCATGCGGGAGCCGTCTGTGCTCTCCGCGCGTAGGTACGTTCACTCTCGGCACTACTCTCGCACAGTACAGAGCCATGGTCAAGGAATTCCTTGGCCTGCTAAGACACGTGCCAGACCTTGCGACCGACATGATCATGGGTACATAGCCCTTCCGAGTAGCCAAGTAACGCGGTGACTTGGTTCGTGAGGATAGGCTGCACGCAGATATCAAAAGCTGGAACTGCTCTTTACGAAATTGCTGTGTTTCAGAGTCAGTGAGCCGACATACCTTAGCTTTGTTGTGTCTCGTTGGACCGTTACGCAGAAGTCAAAGGGAAGTTGACCAATTCGAGCGTCCGACTCTGCTCCCACTGTTGTCAAGACGGCCACATTGGAACGAAGAGTATGTACTGCCTCTCCATGATGCAGTAAAGAAGCTCGTGAATTGAGCCCCATTGATATGCTGGAAGATTTACGAGAGTTTTATGGCAGCGAGCGATCTTCTAAGCACATTGACGACTCACTTAGTATTTAGCTCCGCTAAAGACTGTTGATTGAAAATTGAAACGGCTGCAGAGGTTAGCACTTTGAACGAGAGAGCTCCACTTGACGAGACCTCAACAGTGAGTCCGGAAAGCAACGGTAGCGTAATGGTGGTGTCCCGCAGCATCACATTGCCCTGAAAAAGAAGCTGTCACCTCGTCTTCACGGTAACGCGAGAATCCTCACTGTAGAGGACAGTAGACAACTTTTTTCTAGTCAATGAAGTAAGTAAATAGAAAATTGGTAGTTGTAGCAGAAATCCCTAAAAGGGATCGGACATCTAGGAGCAGGAATCTCCAGTCTGCAATAGAGCCCAAGCGAGAAAGTCATCGGTTTCAAGAAGTCCTCAGGACTGCATTGCTTCGTGTCAAGCAATTCACACCCTTGAGTTCGACTATGGCAGTCACCCACGATGAGCTCATATCAAAGTTTGGCCTTGTGTATACATATGGTTTAGCGAGAGGTGTGTTTCCACTTGTGCCTCATTCACTCCATTCATAGAAGAACTGTGAGAGATAGGTAAAAGTCACCTCCATTTTTAGTGAACCTTTGAGAGATCTGAATTAAAGCTGTGGAGCCTTTCCAACTGTTTCGAATTCCAAATTCGAGTATTCCTTGCCATCGGGAGTCAAATGGTTGCATTGAGAGCGGTAAGCTTTTTTCAAAGGTCCACGCAGTGGATCTCACATTTTCTGTGCAAATCTGTATTTGGGGCATAGTGATCAAACGCTGAGGCTCCCCACCAAGAAAATGTATCAAAAACATGAATCTTCTGCGCTGATCAGCACCTTATGGAATACGCCCCGCATTCTACTCCCCATCGAAATCGTGGTGCATTGTCTGAGCATGTGTTTCCAGTAGCAGCGAGTATGACAAGTCATTTGTTCCCAGGAGCTTGGTAATCAATTAAGCGATCGCGGAAGATGCCAACGCTTTCATTGGCTTTGGACACCAGTAGTGTGAGCTTATTGGATCCCAGACCTTGCACACTGGAAGTAACGTCACTTGCCACTGTACTACCTGCACCCGAAAGCTTTTACAAGACGTATTAATCGAAGGAAATTCGGAATTTCGACGCTATTCACTCTTTACTGCCCCTCAGCTCCGAAACTGAGCAAGGCAATTATCGAAATTCCCCACGACTAAACATTTGGTTAAAAATCTCCCGGCGCACGCCTGACCTGAGATAGCATATCACATTCGAGTTGGCGTGAAATACGCCCGCGCCTGCGCACAAGCGCCTGGCGCCAAAAGCTAACAAATACTATGATCGAATTTCGTGTAACACTTGCTCGTCAGGGGTCAGTATGGGCTAGCTAGTAGACATTCACTTTACATTAAGCTATCGTTGCAGTGTGATTAAGCCTGGGCGCCGGGCTGCAAAAACCAACGCACATAGCGCCAGCACAAAATCCTTGTCTGGAACTAATATGGACACTCACTATATATTGAACAGTTAACGAGAGACCTCTGTTTGTTCCTTGAGATTGAACACTTGCTTTTTTTGGGTTCGAGAGTAAAGTGGGCCCTATATCTATAGCCCTCATAGCCTCTCGAGACTTCATCGTCAGGGTCGAGTTTCAGTTTTTACAGTATCATTCCTACTCTTTTATTCGTATTCTGGAGGAAGCTGCTTACCTGGTCGACTCTCTGGTTTGTGCTTTTGTTAGTATTCACTGAATTCTCTTATATCTTAACTAATCACGGGTTCTATGGCAGGTTATTTTAGCAATTCTCCGATCATTCCATTATATTTTTTCTTGAGTCTGCATAATGATTTCGCGCACAGCCTCACGCTTCAATCTGGGGCTTCATTGAACGCACAAATGAATAAATAAATAAATAAGTAAATAAATAAATAAATAAATAAAATATGACGCGAACTCAAAGTGGGAACATTTCTATAGCAAATCGCATGGCTGTAACATGCACCTCCGTACATCGCTCGTCCTCTACAGTAATAATGTTTCAAACGTACACAGCATAGGAATACAAACCTCAAGAGCCTTGACTGTCTGTCCATCAGCGTTCCATACCGCAGCCATGAGCTCAGTTGTGCCCTAAAAATATTCCATTTACGAAAGCGGTCTGCAGCAGCTAAACATCGTGAGAAACAAATCATACAAAGGTCAATCAATCAGCGAAAAAAAAAGCTGTGCATGTTCTCCTTGAGAAATAATAGACAGCTAGGTTCTTAATTTCTTGATCATTACTCAATGGATTTCAAACAGCAGAAGGCTTTCTGAGTTTTTTGTTGAACACCAATTTGTTTCGTATTAACTCCTTTCAGACCTTGATGCTCCAGCTATGATAATCCCGTCTCACGGCTTTTTGAATAGACAGAAAACATGTTTCGGATGACATTCTCTGTGCAATCGCGAAATCGAGCTATAGTCAGAGCTACTGTGTTCCCAATTCTGGATAACCTGCTACTAGCTGGCTGTTGGGGTCTCAGGACATCTGTCAACCGTGAGGCTTGGCGGTTCAGCGTTTTGTAGTGATGTCTGGGAGCTCTCACAAGTGCACACTATCACAGCATCTCCTCTTTCTTTATCTTCTTCAAAAGGCTTAGTCCCAATAAGACACAAAGTGTGTGCTTTTCCAGCTACGCTCTCACCCTTTGGTTGACAGAAGCCTTGTAACCGGCTATTGGACGTGCAACATCGTAACAGACTTGCGCTGTAAAAGGGAATTCGTCTTTCAACACTGTGGAAGCAAAGGCCTACCAGTTCAACTCTACTCGGGGTAGTCCATCATTAGGACGGGGTTTCTTGTAGGAATCTGACCCGAATAACTTCTGTCAACCCATGCGCACTGGCTTGCAATTAGGCATACACCGCGATTACGTCACTGGAACAATCTGAACTGCGTGTTAAAGCTCGTATGCTTATTGTTAGAAGGTTTGTGGCGTTCTTAAGGCACGGAACTGCGCGTAAGATCGCGATTTGCTTTCAATAGAATAGTGACGTCTGAGGCGAAAGTTTTGTTCACAACCCAGCATTCTTGTGAAACATTCGCAAGGCGAACTGCGGCCAAAAACAGCAGTTAACAAACAAAAGGCTTTCGAAAAAGTTAAAGTTCATCTTATTTTCTCGAAGACGGTGTTTATGATCAAAAGGCAGCTCATTAGAATTAAAGCGAAGGTGGTCAGTGATGGCGATTGAAGGAATCTTCCGCGGAAAAAGCTCCGCCTCCATTTCCCTAGAAAACGATACAAGTCAAAAAAAAAAAACCCAAAACAACAAGTGGCTCACAGACTAACGCTTTTTCGCCGATTGATTTGACTTGTATGATTTGTTTCTAGACGTGCTTAGTCGATGTTAGGCCGCCTTCGTAAACGGAACGCTTTTAGGGCACGACTGAGCTCATGGCTGCGGTATGGAACGCTGATGGACAGACAGTCAAGGCTCTTGAGGTTTGTATTCCTATGCTGTGTACGTTTGAAACATTATTACTGTAGAGGACGAGCGATGTACGGAGGTGCATGTTACAGCCATGCGATTGCTTATAGAAATGTTCCCACTTTGAGTTCGCGTCATATTTTATTTACTTATTTATTTATTTATTTATTTACTTATTTATTTATTTATTCATTTGTGCGTTCAATGAAGCCCCAGATTGAAGCGTGAGGCTGTGCGCGAATCATTATGCAGACTCAAGAAAAAATATAATGGAATGATCGGAGAATTGCTAAAATAACTCTGCCATAGAACCCGTGATTAGTTAAGATATAAGAGAATTCAGTGAATACTAACAAAAGCACAAACCAGAGAGTCGACCAGGTAAGCAGCTTCTCCAGAATACGAATAAAAGAGTAGGAATGATACTGTAAAAACTGAAACTCGACCCTGACGATGAAGTCTCGAGAGGCTATGAGGGCTATAGATATAGGGCCCACTTTACTCTCGAACCCAAAAAAAGCAAGTGTTCAATCTCAAGGAACAAACAGAGGTCTCTCGTTAACTGTTCAATATATAGTGAGTGTCCATATTAGTTCCGAGACAAGGATTTTGTGCTGGCGCTATGGCGTTGGTTTGCGCCGGCGCCTTGCTTCACCTGCAACGCGTTAATGTAATATGGATATTCTACGGCCCAAACTACCCCTGACGACAAGTGTTCAACTAAATTGCTGATCAATATGTATGTTTTGTTACCTTTCGGCGCAGGCGCTTGTGGCGCAGGCGCCGGGCGTTTTCACGCCAAACGAATGTGATATGCGTATCTATAGGTCAGGCTGCCCCCGGGAGATTTTTAACCAAATGTTTAGTCGTGGGGAATTTCGATAATTGCCTTG